ACCCCGGCCCGGGTTTGCTTTCCTTTTTTACCAAATCTACGAAACCCCTGCCACCTAGCGTTAAACCGATAAATTTTACAACTTGTATTGTTTTCATTGAATAGCTTATTTTTTGCGTGTTTGAACTAACGTTCGTAATAGAGATAATCATTTAAAAAATTTTAAAAAAAAAAAGTAAAATGAATTAACAAGAATAAAGCAACATAGAAGTAAGCAGGCACGTAATGTTTTTGAAAGTGGGGGGGCCAACCAGATAAATTTTTTTTTTTTAATTACCTGAAAAAGTTGACAAGAAAAAAAAAAAAAAAAAAAATTAAAAATTTAAAATTCCCAAACTCAAAATCCTATTTCGGGGGGGGGGGGGGGGGGGGGGGGGGGTAAGGGCCAACTTTTTCAGAGCCAAGTTACTTTCACTTCCAATTTTTTTTCCCTACCCTTCATATCAATATACTATGGTTAAAATGGGGGGGGGGGGGGCCCAACCATTCTTTAATGAACATTTACTATAGTAAAAGTAATTTGGAGAAAAAAAGGGGCCGGGCCCCCCTGGCCCCCCCTGATACTACGTCCCTGGTAAGGGCAAAATGAAGGGAAAAAAGTCAAATGAAATGTAATAAAACAAATGAAAACAATAAAGTGACATATTGTTACAATAAAAAAGTAGGCAGAATAAGAATAAAAGCAAGATACATTAGATTTTTGGGAAAATTCCCTTCCATAGAGCCTTGTTTACATACAATTGTAATGAAGAATTTTGGTTGTATCTCGTATGTTAATCAACAAATGATGTTCAATTTTTTGTTATCATTTAGATGATACCTAGTTTGGAATTGTAAATATTAAAACTGGTTTTAAAACATAGGTAATCAGAGATTACAGAGCTCATGCAAATTTGATTTGATACTTTGGAATAGGCCTAAATAAAAACTTAAACTAGTTCTTCAACATGAAAACGTAATTAAAAAGCATCTGAAGCAAGATTGAGAGTTTTCATCCCTTATATCATTTGTGCAAGTTTGGTTTATATAAGCCTTATAGTTTCTTGGGAATAGACCTGCACCCATTATTTTTTTTTAGGTCCTTTTTGGAAAAGTTGTCAAATTCAGCACCTGAACTTTAGTGTGTATCCTATGATGTATCATCCATGCAAGTTTGCTCAACATAGAGCTCAAAGTTATTTGGAAAATTAATAAATATGAAAAAAATAACCTTTTCACCAATCCAGAAAATGTAGGTCAGATTCAGCATCTGAAGCAAGCCTGGTAGAAAGTTTTGATGTATAATTCATACAAGCTTTGTTATTAAAGAGCTCAGTTACTTGGAAATGAATTTCACAAAATTTTTAACCTGTTCACTCAAGCGGAAAATGTAGGTCAAAATTTAGCATCCGACCAAGTCGGTAGTATGCATCCTAAGATGTAATATCCATGCAAGTTTAGTCATTAAAGGGCTCATGGGAAAATAGGAAATGAAACCTGCACCAAAAACTTTAACCGTTTCACTCCACCGGAAAATGTAGGTCAGATTCACCATCCGAATCAAGTTTATTGCTCCTAAGATGTACCATCCATGCAAGTTTGGTCATTATAGGGCTCATAGTATTTTTGAAATGAAAACTGCACCAAAACTTTCAAAAAGGAAATGCTCCAAAAAAAATTAACCTTAACCCGGGACGCCGACGCCAGGTTTTTTGTATTTAGATAAGCTCCCCAACTTGGTTGATGAAGGCTTTAAAATCAGTTGAGACTGTGTCCATGCCCCTTTAAAACAATACAAATCTGTTAAGAGGGCATAATTGAAATTTCAGGTGGAATCAGGTGCTAGTAGGAGTAAGCATCCCCTGTTGACCGGTCACTCCCGGCGTGAGTACTACATATTGGATCAGGTAGACGGAATTTGTAGTCAAATTCAGCAGCTATATGAACTCTACAGATCATGTGCAAAATACTACCTTTTGTCAAACAGTGACAGCCAATAGGGCCAGGTATTCGTAAATGTAATGCATGTTATCATAAACAGTTAGTAGTACATGTAGATTTGAGGTAAATTATCACAACATATTTTTCTTGCTTTTTTATTAGCACTTAAATTCAGAAATATAAAACATTGTCAAAAAATTTGTGAATATGGACATAATTTTGGGAAAACAATGTCTCAAAAATCTAGATCCCAATAATTAAGTTAACAGTCAAAAAATATCTCAACCACAGACAAAGCCATATAGAAATGTATAGAAACGAAAACATAAAAAAATATCCAGTAGTGAATGAAACTGGTTTGTGCACAGGACCAGCATACATTTCTTTAAATTGTCATCGCAGGTGGTAATCTCGTCAGCGAAAGACGTCATTCGTGTTTCTCACAAATACACTGCAAAAGAAATAAAAAGAAATCAAATAATTTCCTATAGGAGCCTGGAAACAGTTGCACTTTTTACATTTTAACTTTCTTTTGATTTTTTAAAGAAGATAACCAGTCTAAAAAACTAAACCTTTTTGAATATACTGTAGAATTCATTTAACAAGGACTGACTAATTTCAACACGTCAAAAACGTCTCACTTTGCTATCTCAATGCACATTTTAAAAAATCTTTTTTTTTATCAGATGTTCAATCATGTCAAAAATGTAGATTTTACATGTATTCTGAGGATACTGAGCATTGCCTTTTGTTATCAAATATATATATTGTTGATAGAAAATTGTTCAAAAAAAAATCATATTTAAGTAATTATTTATATATCCGTACCTTGACCTGTTAAACAAGGAGAGGATGTGCATAGGCTGTCTGTTGCCCAATCCTTATTGGATTATTCAACAAAATATGTTTAAAGGTTAAACACCTTCAGTGTGTATTTGATACAGCTATCCTGAATTGTTTATTTTAAACTGAGCTAACGCTTAGTTATGAAAAGGAGGTTAAGGTCAGATAGAAGGTCGAGGTTAAAAAATGTTCTGTGCAGTTAAATAGCTTATTTCAGGATGTATCAGCATGTGAAGCTTGATTACACTAACTCAATTTTTTTTCTGTAAAACTGAGCTAAACATTAATATAAGAAAAGTGAGGTCAAAGTCAAATGAGAGGTCGAGATCAGTGAATGTTGATGCAGTTGCATAGCGCTTATCGATGTGCATCAACATAGGAAATTTGATAAAAACTATCTTGGAACAGTCTTGGAAACTGATCTTCGCACTAAGCTAAACAGAAACGCCAAGAGCGACGGAAGGACAGACAGAAGAACGGAAGACGGACAGGACAAACTCTATATGCCCCCGCCATATTCATTGCGGGGCATTAAACTGGAATTTGTTGAGCATTAAAGCAACTAGAGGTACTGTGAGCAATGAGCTCACTAAATGATACCCCCCGCCTCCCATATGAATAAAATGGCAGTGTCCATGTTTAGCTCTGGAAAATCCAAAATATATGTCAGATCAAAAAGTAAAATAGGAGGTGCACAATGGCAATATGTAATAAAGATTCTGTGAAAGTTTCATCAAATTTCATTCAGTGGTATGAGAGAAGTTGCGGATAAGAGATGGGTACCCCAAAGCGTAACAGACGGACGGACGGACAGACGGATGGACAGACAGACGGACGGACGGACAGACGTACAGACGGACGGAATTAACGATTACTATATACCCTCCCGCTTTTCAAGCGGGGGGTATAATAAATATATAAATCAATATACTTACCATACAGCACCAAATAAATATCCAGAAGGGGAAGAAAAGAGTTATGAGGAGATTCAACGCAATCTTATCAGCAAATCTGCAAATGAAAAAAAAAATATGTACATCTAAATTTGATTGATGGTACAATGTATGTAAAAGAGCCAATCATTGTTATCTTACTTAATATCATATACATATATGTATGTAGAATAAACTAGCAAACAAATTCGGTAAAGAAAAATGCTTAAAAATAAAAAAAATTCAAATATCATAATGGAGTTCAAAATTATTTAAAATTTCAAGCTGTGATAAAAGACTCACAGAGCACACTCGTACATGTATTACAGACGGACGGACGAACGACGAACAATGGGTGATCAGAAAAGCCCTTAGCAATTTGTAAATGATATAAAATGTAATAAATGACAGTCATACCTATCTTAAAGCTAAAACGCGTTTCTTCGGATAAACACCTAAATAACTCGGAAAATGCTGGAGAAAGCAAAAAGTATTAAAAGTTTGTCGTGCATCACTTTTGTATAAAAATCGATTTCAGGGCAGTTTTGAGTGGAAGTTACTGTTCTGTATAAAAATTTAGAAATTTTCAATTCAATCCACAGTTTTTATTGGAAGACATTACTACATGCATCGGACAATAGACGCTTTGAATGCGTTAGAGTTACTGACGTCAAGGCACAATACCAGTTATCTTTCTTTTCGACGCTTGTTTTCCGATCTTGGAAGAAAAGGTCCTAGAAGATGCCCTTGTAACAATGCACTTTGAAAAAATTACGCACTTTGAAAAAAAAAAATTTCAAAGTGCGTTACATGTAAATTTGGGACCAAGCTAACGCACTTTGAAAAATGACATTTCTCCTTCAAAGTGCGTTAATATCGACATATTAACGCACTTTGAAAAAAATGCGTATAGCTTGATCAATATTCTTACAATTTTTCGGTATGATAAGTAATTGATAAAGTTTGATAACGTTTGGTGATAGGGTCACCTCAGGAACTGAGATATTGACGTTTTAAATATTTTAGGCTTCGATAAATGTTATAAAAGGGAAATGGGTCTTTTAGAAAAAATATGAAGAGATGATTGTCTGATATCATACTGTAAACCAACTTTTATTTGCGAAAACTTTATTTCGCGATTTACTGGAGTAAAACTAGTTCGCGATGATTAATTTTTGCGATCAAACCTTTTTTTAATCTGTTTTTAATAGACACAGAAACTTTAAGGACTGGTTCGCGGCGAGAAATTTTCGCGATGAGGCTCGATCTCGCGAACTTATAGCACGCGAATAAAAGTTTATGAAAGTTGACAACGTCATACCAGCTCTATTATACACTTATCCACTGGGTGTGAGTGTGATAGCTCTTTTATCAAACCCGTGACAGGGAATTATTCCCCGAGGGCTTGCCCGAGGGGAATAGACCCTGTCAAGGGTTTGATAAAAGAGCTATCCCACTCACAACTAGTGGATAAGCGTTTTATCATACTGATGTATAATATAATTTCTGAGGTTAGAATTTTTTGGAGTAAGATAATACTGCAAGAATATCCAAGAAGATCTGAAATCCTTATGACGTCACAATGCTACTGAAGTCATTACGACTTCATTAGTCAATAGAAATAACCGCTTGAAATCAAAATTGGTGGCAAAAATTGCATGAAAATTTTCCGAGGGTGGATAGCAAAAACTATACCCCGGGATATAGCTTTGCGATGCGGGAACTATAAAAGATAGTTATTTTACCTTCTGAACTTTATATAGGAAACATTTTAACAGAAGTATAATAAAAATACATATACATGTTTCGGATATAGCATAGGCATCGAATCCAGGCGAAAGGCAAATGGGAGAGGGTTTAGCCCCCCCCCCCCACTTTTTTGCAAAGATATACATCATATAAACATTGAAGATATGGCTTACCATTAGGGGGGACGGGGTTATTACTTTACTCCCGTTTAATTTGTAACCATTACCTATGTATTTGAAAGATAAAAAGTTGGGCTGAGAGACCTTCTACCCGTCTTCTTCTCTTCTCGACAGGGGTAAATCAATTCAAAAATTCAAATACATGTAGTTTTTCGAAAGATAAATAACAAATCAATGCATTCCATTACTAAAATTAAGTCCAGAATTTTTGCTTTATACATACTTTTTTTCAAAGTGCGTTAAGTGTCTCAATGGTAAAATATGTAGATGTAAACTCTTAACGCACTTAACAAAAAATTCCAAGTGCGTTGAGTTGGTCCAAAATTTAACGCACTTTGAAATTTTTGTAACACATGGTTCCTCTTCATTATTGCCTACATTTTGTATAAATATTTATACCCCCGCTTGAAAAGTGGGAGTATACTGTAATCGGTATGTCCGTCCGTCCGTCCGTCCGAGGCGGGGGGGGGGAGGGGGGTATAATTTAGTGAGCTCTTTGCTCACAGTACCTCTAGTTTAGATATTGTATTGATTTTACCAAGCTATGTTTCTCATTCAAATCTGGCCGTTATGAACAATTCTATCAGGTTGAATTAAAAGCTGAACTTTTTTGTAGAGAAAGGGTCAGTTGAATCACAACTATCTAAACCACCTGAAGAACGACGAATGGGAACATAATTTATTTCCTAAGCACATTTTCACAGTGTATTCATTATTCAAGTGAAAAATTCTCGGGTTAAACAATACACAAACATGTTCATGTACACCACTTGTTAACTGACAAAAAATGAATTAAAATCCGTTTTCCACTTCTTCTCTTCTGCCCTCCCCCTCTCTCTCTCTCTCTCTATCTCTCTCTCGATGCCTGTTCTTTCATTGAAAAAAAAATTAAAAGAAAATTATTTAGCGAAGAAACAACTCTGTGGACAAACCTTTCTTTTTTCACTTGTTGAATGACCACAGGGGGTGTTGGATTGGCCATGACAACAGTGGTCGTATTCGTGTGATGTGTATTCATGGTTGTTTTCCTTTATTTTTATTCCTGAAATTAGAGAGAAGTATGGAGAATTTGCTTTTCATTATATTTTTTAAAAGTTTTCATTATATTTTATTTTTTAAAGTTTGCTCTAGTTTCGTAATGAGTTTTCTCTGGTATAGATATACTTATCCTAGGACAAAATTAAACTTTGATATGACTTTCTTTTTAAAACACTTTTTTCAGTTTTACATGTAATTGTCAAAGGATTTTTCCGTTACTTCCCAATCATGACAAGACGCATGCATACGGAGGGTGTTACCGGTCAGTGGGGGATGCTCACTCCTCCACGGCACTTGATCCCACTTCTTTTTGTTCAAACAAAACATTGTACTAGACATCGAAAGCCCCCTTCTACTTCTTAGTAAAGTCATATAAGGGTCATGTTGTATGTTGGAGTACAAAAATCAGGTCCAGTACAATCTCTTGATTTCGCTATATAGCTTTAAATAGCTATATAGCTTTATATCTTAAATCACCCAGACCTTAATTATATTATAGTGTTTTTATATCTTTTAACTGTGAATAGTGTTTTTCTAAACTTTTTATCTTCACTAATAACTTAATACTGTTCCCTCTTCACCGCATTGAAATTTACTTTTCTCTGCTTTTTTATATCTTTTAATCAGCTGCGCACCCTACTCAGAGTACTCAAAATCTGAGGGCGAGTAGTATCGAGAGATAGATAAAGCTATTCAAAATAGCTTTATTAAGCTATTTATATACAATTTTTCACTAAAATGTTTTTTTGCTAGAAACAAACAAAAAGTCGCATGTATTTGACATGTATTTAACTCTTTACATGTATATATGTACTATGGGCTATCAAAGCAACAACCAAAATCAAAGAAAGTTCTAACATTTGCAGCTTTTGAATACTTTTAAGCAAAAAAAAAGAATTTCTATTGTTAGAGTAACTGTCCACTACCCAGAGTGGCAGTGTGTGTGTTGAGGCATGGATAGGTACGACTTTATTTTTGTAACATTGCATTGTTTTTTATCAATCATCGTGGTAGCGATCGAGTGGGAACGGGCGGGAGATATAAAGAAAAAAAACTAAATATTCTTAAAATAAGAATTTTATTTGCGATTTCACAGAGAGGAAATCGTATGAAACGATTTTGTTTTGTTTAAAGAATGAGCAAAAACGGCGTGATCCACGAAAGAACTAGAAGATCAAAAGAGTTTTAAACACAATCATCAGATACTATACATTTTAATGTTTGTCAACAAACTTACTAGACGATAGCATACTAAGTACTCACCGTTTGCACTGACTAATTTGGTGGTCCGTTTGTGTTCTTTTGTTCACAGTCCAGCAAATCGCTTGATTGACTCTGAAAAGAATCCCGTGAATCCTAATGCTGTTTAGATTTTACGATTAACAACTGAAATTCATACGCATACATGTTTTCTTACATTTTCACCCGTCATCTCACCTTTTTCAGTTCACAAAACTTCTAGCGTTGGCTTTGCTCTCGTTTTCTAATTTAATGACACAAGAATCACGTGACTTCTGAGTTTTGTTCACCAGAGAGAAGAAAGTGGCGGATCCTATCAATGATTTACATACGCAGAATTGTTTATCTTATTGTGGATATTTCCATAAATGAGCTGTTTGTATGTATTAAACATTGGTTTTATTTTCTAATGTAATCAAATGGTGTACATGTAACCTAAAGCGGGATCCTTATCTTAAAGTAAAAAACTAGGATAATTTCGAATTTCCAAAATTTAGAAAAACCACTCTGCATTATTAGTGGTTTTGTCTTCTCTTTCAGACGATATGCTAGATTTATCAATTTATTAATTTTTCAGTTGAGTCTTGTTGGATACACTGATTTCAATTTCATTGACTTTGAAGTTAATCACTGGTTTCTGCGCATGCCCGGGGATTTTAGTCGCTTTAACAGTTAAGGTAATTAAAACTTCAAACGACGTGGCGTATATGATGCCAAGACTTTTCATCAAAACAGCCACGTAGCATCGTTTTTGAAAGTGGGGGCCAGCCAGAGAAAAAAAATTACTTACCTGAAAAAGTTGACGAGCCAAAAAAAAAGGAAATTGCCGAAACTCGAAAATCCTATTTCGTGAGGGGGCGGGGGGGGGGGGGGGGGGGGGGGGAGAGAGAGAGAGAGAGAGAGAGATAATATTTTCTTACATTTTGAACACTACATTTCCCTGTTATCTATCTCATGTAGTATAAAGTGAGGGGGGGCAACCAGCCTTTCAATGTACATTTCCTATAGTAAAAGTAATGTTGGGGAAAAAAGTGGTGGGGGGCAGCCCCCCCCCCCCCCCTGTTGCTACGTGCCTGCTAAAGATATCTTTTCTAAACCCCTGGTAATGCGTGCTGATTTTTTGTCTGTAACACGAACATTCTTAAATTAAGAAGATCTGGAAAAATTATGAGTATTTTAGATGCCTTGCTTATTTGTCCTTCAATGGAAGCAGTTCTCTTCTGATTTTGATATTTCTTTAACACTTTGAAGTTGAATTAATTTCCAAACACGGGATTTCTTATAATGATACTTTTTCAAATACTTCGATCTTATGTCATGAAAAAAGGACATTAATTGTACATGTAGTTGGAATAAAATAAAATTCGTCTTCGATGACATTTAAAGAACACATTTTACATATTAATATATTTTCTCTAATTTAATTAACGTATCATTGAACATTTAAATTATGGGCAGATAGTCTAATTCTAGCAATTTTTATTTTGTTCATTTGATTAATATGGTTATATTGAACACCAAAATTATCAACAGTGATTTCGGCCGGTTTTCAAAATTTCTCAGACCTGATTCTGTTAATGAATTATAAAGTGAAATTCGTCAGCGGTTTCATTTGAAATAGATAATCCTCGTGTAATTCAATAATATTGCACCAAAAATGTATAGTAAACTAGAGTTACTGTGAGCAATGAGCTCACTAAATGATACCCCCGCCTCCCATATGAATATAATGGCAGTGTCCATGTTTTGCTCTGGAAAATCAAAAATATACGTCAGATCAAAAAGTAAAATAGGAGGTGCACAATGGCAATATGTAATTAAGAATCTGTGAAAGTTTCATTAAATTTCCTTCAGTGGTATGAGAGGAGTTGCGGATAAGAGATGGGTACCCCAAAGCGTAACAGACGGACGGACGGAAATACCGATTACTATATACCCTCCCACTTTTCAAGCGGGGGGTATAATTATTTTGAATTAGTTATGAGCATCGTTGATTTGTGTCGCTTTTCAAAATGGTGGTTTCAAACTCTCTCAAAACTGACTCATTTATCGCCTACATAAAACAATAAAAATTATTATATTTTAGTGAAAATCATTTGAAATAGATAACCTATGTGTAGTTCAATAATTCTAGACCAAAAAAAATAAGTATAGAAAATCATTATTTTGAATTAGTTATGGGCATCAGTGATTTCGGCCGCTCTTCAAAATGGCGGTTTCATATTTTCTCAGAATTGACTTATTCACCAGGTGTATATCATATCCAAAATGTGTTTCAACTACGAAAAAATCAAATATTGATTTTTGGAACAATAATGGTTTTTCAAATTTGTTTCCCTCTGGCTCTATGTTAATGAAGCCACCAACATTCAAAATCCTGGCTTTTAATTTCTTTACATCAGATTGCAGGTTTGCACGGAACTCAAGTACAGTTTATTTCATACATCTCATAGGCGTCAGAACCGGGGGGGGGGGGGAGGGGTTAAGGGGAGCCCCTCCCATTTTTTGCAAAAATAGACATAGTATAAGCATTGAAAATTGGGGGTTACCTTTTTTTGCTGGTTTAGCCCCCTCCCCCACTTTCACTTGCTTCCGACGTCTATGCATCTAAAGTATAGAGCTACTATAAGTACATATTACATAACTAAAGTACTAGCATGAATACCATTTCTTGTAAATACAGCAGTTCGTGCAATTCTTACATAATTTTTTTTTACAAGTATTAGCAAATTAGAGCCGACCTTTTCTTGTGAGCACCACGACCTCTTGGAAATCCATGGAAGCGATTTCTTTGTTGCGATCACTCTGCTGGACTTGTCAACTGTGTAAGCAATATACATACTAGTATTTCGTAGTGGAAACATCTGACGCTAGGACTCCTTCATTGATATTTCGAACATTGGAAGTCCCCAAGAGTATGACAGATGGTGGAATTTACTCTTTATCACACAAACTGGTCCCCCCTGTTTTACCGTGAATTGTATCTCGTAGTAGATTCCGACAAAATACCACATTTTATGTGGATGAGTTCATATTGGACCTCTGAGAGTTTGCATTTTAGTTCTACTATTAAATTTTGTTTGGATAAATTGCTTGAACAACTCAAGTTGTGAGATGTACGAATTAACTCGTCATACGTGCAGTTTTATGTTATCAGTTTTAAATTTAGTGTATGAACATGATGAAATAACAGTAAAGGTAAATATATAGCGGGTCCCTAATAAGGTTTAATATTTTCCGGCTAATTTGGGATCCCGGCTAATTTTACTTTTAAAATTATGCACCCTCCCAGTCACAGTTACTGAAAGTAATAATAATTTAACTGTGTCT